AGTCCGTCCACCTTCTTCCCTATTTATACCTCCCAGTCCAGATTATACCCCGCCCCCTTCTCAATTGTCGGTCTAGACGTCCCAGGTAAATGCCCTGGTCAGATGGATGGTCGTGTCTGGGTGTCAGACGGCCGTAATTGGTCAGGCGTTTGATCCTTGGGTCCGTCGTGCTCCACAAGCTTGATCCTTCGGTCAGACGGATTACGTCAGGCGCCGTCGTGGTCCGGCGCTCGTGCGTGGTCACAAGCTTGGGTGGTCAGACAGATTACGTCAGGCGCGGTCCGAACTCTCCACAATATACTGACGCTGTCTTTTGGAGAAGAACATCAAGTGTCCCAGTGGGAACAGAGATTCTAATACTGTCCTTTGGGTGAGAACATCAAGTGTCCCAGTGGGAACGGAGATACAAATGAGTAAATGGAGATGGATAGTTCAAACATTAAGGAAATCAAACACTCACATCACATGACGAACCTGAATCGGCATCCTCAAGATACTAGGAAAAGGGGAAGACCAAGAGCCACATGCAAGAATTGATTAGAGGTAAGGGTGAAGAGAATGAAGAAAAGTTGGTCTGAACTAGCAACGATATCCCAGGACAGAGACAGATGGGGAAGTGTTGTGGATGACTTAAGCTTCATTGGTCTGAACTAGCAACATTTTCCCAGGACAGAAACATATGGGGAAGTGTTGTGGATGACTTATGCTTCATTGGGCTGAACTAGCAACGATATCCGAGGACAGAAACAGATGGGGAAGTGTTGTGGATGACGTATGCTTCATTGGGCTGAACTAGCAAAAATAGCCTAGGACTTATGGAAAAGTATGATGGATGACCTATGTTCCAGTGGGAGCTTAAGAAAAAGAAGAAGTACTTAATCTAGCAATTGTTGCACACAAAAAACAAAATTATTAAAAATATCAGGTTTAAAAAATAAAATGTAAACATCATTAATATATTTAGAGCATAACTATTTCTCATTAGCTCCACCATTTCCTTCATTTGATTAGATCAGAGCTCCAGGTGTGGGGGGGGGGAAGTTCACTTGCTCCAGGTGT